CTCTCTCTCTCTCTCTCTCTCGTTTCAGTTAATCCATTTTGCTCGCGTTTTAGTTTACCCGCGCCGCGAATAGTAGTTTACCAGTCAGACTTTGCTCGAGTACCAGAGGGAGAAAAGAGTTGTGGTCCTGTATCTCGGGTGGCCTGTCTCGTCAGTCGCTGGGGTGTTCCTGTTCCATTCCCAGGTGCAGTGCGTAAGCTCCGTGAGACGGATTGGTCGTGGTCAGGCCATTCCTGCGCTGAGGCATCGTCATTCGGGTGCAGGGTCCTGCTCGGCTCGAACTCTGGTGCCCAAGTGAAGTCTGACATTTTGTTCTCACCTTAGTTTCCATTTAGAGTCAATAGTTAGTCCATAGTTAGAGTCAATAGTTAGAGTCTTGTTCGCAATCGTCTAAAATCCTTCTCCAATATTCGCTCCGTATAATAGGGTGGTAATTTAATAGGGAAGGGGGCAGTGGGGATTGTCCACTGTCTGGGTCTCGAACGTAGTCACCTCCACGCGGTGAGACCTGGGTTGGTATCGTTTTCAAAGTCTTTGGAAACGGTACCAAGCGGAGAACTACGAACTAGTTTAAGAATCTCTGTATCTAAAATTGTATGTTCAATTTTTATTTACATTACCTTTTTAATAGTAATAAGAATCTATAATAACAAATTCAACATGTCAGCACTGTTTAAGTACATAGCCTTTACATCCTTAAGCTAAACCGAACCGAATCGGCGATTCGATTTCTAGTTTCATTCGTTTTGAAATAATAAATTTATCTTTAAACGGAAGGGAACAGCGTATTTCATTTTCCCTGGCGAACTCGTGAACAAAAATTGATACGATCAAAGAAACGGTACTGTCACTCGGTTCTCGTGACAAGGGTGGGCGCAGAAGCGACTTTTTCGTGAGCCCCGACTTCTGGCTCATGAGATTTAATTGTCCGGACTGGCGGAAAGACAAACGAGCGAGTTCCGCGGCGGAATTCGGGTTTCCGATGCGACGGGGGCTCGTCGGGATTACCGGCAACAAATCATCGGGATTAGAACGGAGCGCGGGTGTATCGAGTTCGAAAGAAGAGAAACGAACGAACGAACAGGGTCGCTCCGTGACTGCTCGGAGGAGGGTGGAGATTCCGACGGGCGTGAGCTCCGTGAGCTTGTAAAATCAAAAGGACAAACAATTAATAACCCCGGTACCGGCGATTAATCAGAATTTAACTCGCAGTTAAATACTCGGGTAGTCGCGGGGGTGGGTGGGATCGCGGACGCTCGGGACGGGATATCGCCGAGGGTACGGTGCACGCAGGATAAACAAAGGTTTACATCAGTGTCAGTCGCAACAAGTCCGAATTCGTCTAGGGTTCCCGGCATGAATATTCACGGTGCGCCCGTTCGTCCGTCCCTTCCAACCTCCGCGCGCGCCAATTCCACCCTGTAACGCCCTGCCCCTCCCGTCCCTATCACGCACGCACTGTATCGCTCTGCACGGGTCCGCGACCATTTGCCACCCCCTGCGATATCCATCGAACGGCTACCGGTCAAAGGCTGAAATCACAATACGCGTTTGTCCGGTTGACGAAGTCGACTCGGCCGGGAGTCACTAAAGCAAATAGAACGAGACGGCGAGGGTGCGGATGGGAAGGTGGGGTCGATCGCGGGGGTGACGCGCACCGACGGAGCCAAGGGTGCCGCGGAGAGAACCAATGGTCATTGCCTTTGAATTGGAAATTACGTTTCGGCCGGTCAAGTGTCGATTTTCGCTCCCGTATTAACGGCTCCGTCCCTCCCACGGTTTTCCATCGTTTGTAAGAGATCGACGGCCACGACGAAAGAACCACTCTCGCTTCCTTTTTCCAAAGTCTCTGAACACGTGAACGCTCTAATTGTACCGATCGAAGTTTCGACGAGCCGCGGTGGCTGTGAAGTGAACGGGGTGTCGTTCGACGGCGAGAGTATTTCGCACGACCAGTCGAATGATTTAATCCCAGAATGATGGACGGGCACGTCGCGACGATGATCTGCGTGCCGTGAAGTGACAAGTGGTCAGGATCACGGGGAAACCTCGGTGGCGGATGACGGTGGGTGATGGCCGAGGGTGGTCGAATCGTGGTCGACGTTGGTGTCGTATCGGTGACCGGACCCGGGGGCTACCGGATTTCAGAACCGCGCGGCGCCGAGGGGGAGGGGGCTCGCACCGTACAAATCATCCGGGCATTACAGCGTCACGTCGGGACTCAACCTGTCGCGCGACCGGAAACTGGATGCCGACGGTAATGCTGATTTATAGGACGCGAAACGCTCGCGTGTCGCACGACGAGCCGCGCATCCCGCGTTCTCGCGGCTCATTTTTCTTTGCGAATTCAGCGGACAAGGACGTTTAAAAGACTGCACGAAGAACGCGTTATGTCACGAAATTATACGCGAGTAAGATGGTAACGCTGATCGATCGACTCGACCCGAGAATTTCGAGCGTCACGCGTCGATCCGACAGGTATCGGGACTCAGTCCGAACCACCCATATTGTATTTTCTATATATGTACGATTCAGTATTGTCCTACCTTTCGAGATGTTTCACTATGTCTTCGTAGGCAGCTCGGCAGTTTTCCCAAACCGTCCCGGACCTGTGGATCAAAAAAAAAAGTCGACGCTTGAGACACGACGGAAGGAGAGAGAGAGTCCGAAACGAAGTCGGTCTCGCGGGAAAGAAAAACGACGAGGAAAGCTTGCGTACAGAGAGAAGGGGCACGGTTGATAAGCGAATCGGTTAATTATAAGCCTGCCACGGGATATTCTCGAGGAAAGTGGATCCACGGAGTTGATTAAGAGTCCTCCTCTCCAGTACGTCTCGTCTTTCGTTTGTCCTTTGATTCGATCGTCTCGAAAACGAAGCTTTGAAGTCTTGCTGATTAAAAAAGACGTCTGGCCCCCGAGAGCTTCGGCTAATTTACCGGCTGTATCGACCGAAAACGCTTTCACGGCATAACAGAGACGTCACCGAATCCGATGTTCCTCGTGGAACCGGTAGCTCTCCCGTCTCTCTCGTTCCGGACAACGTCTTCCTAATTTTACCGAGAATCGAGAAACGTTTTGACGGGATGATCGAGCGACTCGCGAGGGAAGCGACGGGCGTCGAGAACGGAAGGAAGTTCTGGTCTCGAGACGGACCCGGGAGCCGTGTAAACCGGTCGAGTGGGTTGCAAGAAGGAACGGCGAGAGGGTCCGGGCGACGGGGGCGTCGGGGGTTGAATCAGAGGGTGACGATAGAGGGCAACGGCGCGGCTCTTGGTGACGGAGCGGTACGCCAGGATGGGGTTGCGTTGAATTAATCATATTCCGGTGTTTGTCGTGCCGCCCCTAGACGTAATCCGTCTTACCTCCCGATCTCTCTCGCTCCTCTGCCACGATAGATTTGCATTTTAATTAAAAGCAAAGCGCTGAAATCATAATGCGAAACGTGCGGCGCCGCCTTCGTCGCGTCATTATACACGTAGGCGTGCTGCCTCGGAAGGACACGGTCTGACCGTCGTCGTCGGACCTTCGGGACGAATCGACGGTTTCTTCGCCGATACACCGATGAGAATTCGTCGGGAACTCGCCGGGTCGGATCGACGATCGGAAGAGAACGAGGAAGACGAAGCGACGGGGTTACGGACTAATGGCGATTAGGACGAGGCTAATTACGGCTGGCGAATGTAATCGAAAATCGAGACTAGTCTCCAAAGCTCCCGGAGTTTCACGGGGAACCACCATCTATTAGAAACGCGTTAACAAATGCCGGGATTAGCCCCGAGACTACCCTTCCTCCCCGAGCAGGATCCTCCTTCGATAGACTGGCTTCGTCTCCCTATTCGTGTCTCCCGCGTGAACGACTCGTGTAATCCGCGATATACGTCTCGGGACCGCAGCGCCTCGAGGATTTACCACTTCGAGGCAAATGTTAAATGGAATACGAAAGGGTTGTTCGTAACACGAGGTGCTACGCGGTAGATCGATTCAGACGTCGAAGGCAACGGAGGATCACGGGAAAAATGAAAGTTTCGTCATTACGACGACGGCAATCAATGGGTTCGACGACGGGGTCGAGTCACAGCACCGGGAGGAGAAGGGTTGAGGTCGCGCGAGTAACACGAGCCGAGTAAACGACCTAGAAGGAACGCGACGCAGCCAAGGAAACGGACTTGGAACGGGAGCGGGAGTTCGCCCGACCGGCAAGAGTCGCGAGAGAGGGAAGGAAAAGATCAAGCAGTGTCGAGACCCCTCGGATTTCCACGGCTTCGCCGTCTCTTCAAATCCTCTTAAAGTTGTATTCTTTTGGCCTCGCCGGCCCTTCGTTTCGAATAAACCCGGCAAGAAACGACTGCAGGACTCGGAATCAACTTCGCCTACTCTTATCGCTCTATGCACCGTTTCATTAATAGAGACGATCGTCTTTCCGTCAGATTTTAATTCGTCGTCAACGTCTCTGTCTCGGAATATAAAAGTATCTCACCTCGCGAGCGCCTCCATGTTGGACATGTTCGGGTTCACTTTAAGGCCCTGCTCGGCCCGCGCCTGAGCCTGGGCCTGCAGGTGATGCGGCAGACTAGCCGGCGACAGGATCGCCGTGTGTCCTGCACCCGGATGTCCACCCAGTTGCATGAACTGCATGTGACTCAAGTGCGTGGGCGGGTGATTGTACCCGTTGGCGAGCAACGGCGATTTCTCCATTCTCGGCACATCTGTAACAGAATCGAGGGAAGCGTTAGCCTGACCGAATCTCTGCGGTGGAACGGATCTACGCGCCACGGCAAATACCGTTGTGTATATTTGCCGGAGGATCCGTACTCGGGATTCTCCGTGTTTCGAGGTTTCCGAACCGGCCATTTATCTTCGTCGACGAGCACGCGTCACGATCTCGGTCAGGGGACGGCCGTGAGGAAGACACCACCGCCCGGAACGAACGGACCGTTTGCGTTGGCAGCCGTGGCGGAATCACGGCCAACTTTGTAGGAACGTTCGAGAGGCCTCCGGGACGATCGTCGAGAAGGAGGCCCGGTACCATTTACAGATTCCACTCGTGCAAAGATGACGTCGAAGACGACGGTATTGGGGCCCGAGATCGGTCGGGAAGGGGGCAGCGGTAAGAGGGCGACGCGTATACGGGGCAGACGGTGCAACCGTGGAAGCGCGAGGGAGACGAACAACGGGAACAGCGAGAGGGGGTAGAAAATGAGCGGTGCCTATTCATTACAAATTATCTAAATGGCAGTGATTTCGGCGGACCGGCTGGCCGTTTGACGAGTAAGTGGCGGGTTCGCCGGGACAGTGACTGTCGATCCGGTCGGCGACCGGCCGACCGGCAACGGGAACCGCGCCGCGGATCGTTTGACAACCACTGTGGGACCCGGCCCATGACCGGCCCTAAAATTGGACTTATTACAACTTATAGAGCGCGATTTGAACGCTCCGCTCAATAACATACATTATCCCCGATCCATATGATTTAATGAAATCCCTCTAAACTCTCCACTTAGCCTCAGTACCTTCTCGCGCGGTACCCTTCTTTTTTCCCCTCGCCCCTACAGCGGTGCGTACGCGCTCTTTCGCAGATTGCTACGTGCGCACCGTCGTCGCGAGAGAAACAGACCGGAGTGAAAGAGTCGGACCGATAGTCACGGCTGGCGTCGGTCGGCGAGGAAACGAGTCCGAGAGAGAACCGGCGCGGCACGTTCCGATCACCGAGGATACTTAAAACGCACCTTTCCCCGATTTTATAACCCAGGCAACGGTCATTTGGTCGGTCGCGACGCGTTCGACGTGGTGCGACGACAGATGAAGACGTTTCGACCGGACGCTCCGCGGAACGGCTCCGGGGACTCGCCTCAAAAATGGGAATCGTCGTGACGCAGAGGATCCAAGGATACCGCGATCCTTCCGTTAAAGACCAAACGAGTTTGAAACGAAGAAAAGGAAGGGTCGGACGAAAGGGAGTTGCGATCTCTGATCGCAGTCGTCGCGACGACCGACCAGCAGAGAGCGAAACGCGAGGGACGATAAAACACAATTTGAGCTAAAGACCGCGCTCCTATAACTTCCCATCCCCCGAGCCCTGTAGCGCGGACGTGTACCGGCACCTCCTTGCCCCTCTCGTAGCTGATGAGGTGACAACCCATAATTATACAGACCGCTTTCTGTCTGGGCTGACTGCAGTGGCATGCGGAGGAGAGGCCTCCATCATCCACCCCGTACCACCTTCTGCCTCTTCTCCTTTCTTCGCTATCCTCCCCGAGTCTTTCTCCTCGTCCGACTTTCCTCCTCCCGCTTCACGGACCTTCTGACCGTGCGCATTCTCGCTCGTCTCTTCTTTCTTCCACCGTATCGTTGCCGATCTGCCTTTTTTCTCCCTCGTTACCCTTTATCCTCCCGCTCCCACACGTCCACCTACCTCTTTCTCATCCACCGAGCGAACCGTTCGCCGGACTTTGACTTTCCTCGCCGCTTTAATAACGATACGCGTGTTTTCTTCGCGAACCCGAGCCGAGGAGAAATATCAGCGGCAGCGGTCGGAAGAGAGAAGGGGGGCCCGGACGGGTAGTCACCTCCACCCTCGTGCGCCCGCGGGAGAAGGACGACCGCGCTACTTCTTTCCTGGTGTTAATTACAAAACGCGAGAATAAATTGCCGGGCTAAATGAGCGCGCCCGGTGTATCTTTCTCTGCGCCGCGACCTCGTCACGTCTGTTCCCTCTCGCAACGCGACGGACAGATGAATGGAAGGCGAGCCGTCTGCACAGGTGGAATTTGTTATGCGTCGCGATCACGGCCCTCGCTATCGCGTCCCGATCTCTCACCAGAGACCGAACGATTCGTGGTAGTCTCGCGAGAATCAGACGATAAAACGTATTCCACTCGCTCGTTCGAATCGTCGACCGTCGCACGATTCTCTTCGATACAATTGGGAACACGGTTCGCCTCCGGGACTCGTTTTTCCCTTTGTAGTTCTCCCTACGGTCGAGTGACCACCGTGAACGAGAGGCACGGTGAAATTATTCGGAAAATTTGCCCTTTGTGTCCGCGGATCCTCCGGCCGTACGGCGCGACGCAAAGTTTCCGGCATTGTTCTTACCAAACGACGAAGAAATCGACCGGCTCCCTCTACCCCCGACGCGCTCGACCGCGGTAACGCTGCGCGGTATTTGCGCTTAGGTATGTATATGTTTACCCTCGACACCGACTCCCTCAAAACCCTTGGATTTAACCCTCGAACACCGACCCTCCGGCTACGGCCGATGTCATCGCGGCCCTTTAAGTACCTCCGCGACCCTTCTTCGCGCCGTTCGTCTTTTCTTCGCAGGAATCGTCCCCGACGACGCTTCCTACGGTCGACGGGGATCCTCGCGAGAATCGCGCCCGTTACCCGTGCACGTGTATCCCGGCCGGCGTGTGTTGGTACATAAACACGAGACGGGAAACACAGTTTCGCGCAGGAGGAATCCGGTTTTTCAAGTAATCGAGAGCCGGGCCAGCAGGCGAGCCGGGCGAGCAGACAGGCAGGCGGGCAGCCATCGAGGTAGCGTCCGGCCTCGAAACGACCGAGGAGAGAGTGGATGCCATGGCTATGTACCTACACCTCCTCGCTCCACCTTCCTTCGTCCCGTGCACCTCTTTCCTCGCTTTCCTCTTTCACCACACCCATCCTTCTTAATCGCCGCGCATTGAGACGTATGGCTGGCTGTCCGAGACCCTTCCTCGATCTTCTCTCGGCCGCGGTGACACGACCCGAGGTTCGCGCATTTAGAGCTTTTCCAATTGCGAAAGAAGGCGTTCGAGGGATGCAGCAGAGACGAGCTCGAGAGTATTGAGACGTGGGCCACGTTACGAGAGAAGGAGGACGCGGGTAAGAGATACGATCGATTATTCTTGGGAAGTTGGAGTTTTCTTCCCTCTACCCCAGCCGGGTACCACGCGTATCGCCGCGAAGCAGCGGCAGTCCAGTATTTGTTCTTCCGCAGGACTCCGACGATACCGAGCATCATCCGAGGGCAGTAAACCTTTTGATATATAGTCGACGGTTTTTAGAGTTCTGTCAGCCACGCCCACAATCAGCCTTAGTATTATTTACACTCCTCGTGGTTTGTAGTCGGTCGTCTCGGTCCCCGGCCGTCGCCTTTTTACTCGTTTCGCGCAGCTCTTCTTGCCCCGTCGTCCGCCTCTCCGTCATCGGGTCTTCCGACGTTTTTCTGCCTTTTGGCGAACGCCATCGATCCACCGTTTTTCTCCCGCCGCTCTTTGATGTGTCCCGATCGATCCAGAAACTGGCTCTTCTTATTTATAAAATTAGATAGAATCGCGCGAGCTTCAACGTCCCTCGCGAAATTATCTATTCCTCGAGCAGGCCTGTACGCGATCGCAATAGCCGCCGGCGCGGATTTCAGATTTCGTCCACCCGGACACGCAACGGACTTCGAGGAGAAGGGGACCGCATATTTTATTTCTGAAATGATGATGATACGCACGGAACCTTCGGTTTTATCACGACTACCCCCGGTCACGAACGGCGCCGATCCGTGTTTACGCTCCAAAAAATCTTCGGCCACGGTAAGAACAGGCGATTGTCAATTCGAGTTACACGATTCCATGAATCTGGCATTTTTCTGATCACCGCGAGTGCTTCGACTCACTCGTCCATCACACGACTTCGTCATCGGTTGCTCTCCAATTACACGATTTTATGATTCATTTTTACTCAGAAGATTCTACGATGGCGATGCAGTCAAACAGAGAGGTCTCGTGTTCTCCGATCACACATGTTCCCCAATTTATTATTTCTACTCGTGTACACGTTCAATTACGAGGCTCTATTTCATGAAACGTAGTTGTTATTTCTGGAGCGAAGTTAAAGGGGCGATCGAAAAATCGACGGAGCTAATCTCGAAGGTAAATCTTGCCCGCGGGCTAATCAAAACCGAGCATCGTGCCTGGGGCCCCGCGCATCTGCCCGTCAGCGTTGCAATAGGCTCGTCGGGCCCGACCCGTCCCGTCGGCGCATCCTCTGCGCCCGATACTTTTTCACGTGCCTCGCAACATCGGTTAATCCTCTGCATAAACATTGTATTGTATTTCGCCAGGGATGCTCCCATTATATCATATTTTGTTATTAATATCTTCCGACTGGCTGGGCCCAGAAGCTGGGACGGGGCACTTTTGTGCGCCGGAGAAGGTGAGCCAGCCCCGAGGAAAGAGAGAGACGGAAGCGAGAGAGAGGGTGGAGAGAGGGCTCGTGTGAAAAAAAGCGAGGAAGAACGGAGAGAGACGGAGGAGCCGACCGATACCGGTTTCCTTTATCGTACAATGCCTACCGGGATTTTTATTATCCACGAACTCCGTGGTGGAGCGCAGTCGTTACGGTTTAGAATTTATTCTTTCCACAAATATGCTTCGAGTTTCCATTACTCGTTCTGTATCAATTCTTGACGCGTGCATCCAGATCCGTGCTCGACCCATTTACGTACACGCGGTTAAACGCTCGGCAAGTTTTTCCGGGTACTCGAGCCGCACGAATATCGAGTGTCGAGCGATTTAAAGGCAGCCGGCCGGGTATTCGGTCGACGAGTGCTTTCGGTTCGAACGAGATCGGAAATGAAAAGAAAATAAATAGCGGGCGGCGACAAAAAACCGCGGCTCGTTTGCGTGGGTACACGCGTAAAACGGGACCTTTGACGCGTGCCCGTGTAAACGAGCCGGGGCCGCGCCCTCGAAAAAGTAGACGTTTACCCCGCGTGTCCGAGTGGCGAAGGGAGCCGGTCGGTTTGGCAGAAAACAAGCCGCGATCCGTGGTGTCGGTTTTCATTTCCCCCGCGCTTTTTTTCGCGTTACCTCTCTGCCTCACCCTCCGCACACCGTTTTTAAATACGTGCGACGCTCGCGCTTTTTTCACCCCCTCTCGACGAGCGGCCGTTGTTCCGCGCACTTCCGCCTGTTTGTTGGTCACGAGGACCGGGCCGGCTCGTGCGAATTATAAAAATACTCGCTCGCTCGCGAACAAAGCGGCCCGCTCGTTGATTCGCGAGTTAATTGAGCGGCGCGGCACTCGCCGGCCGCTAACAAGTAAATTGTTGACCACCGCCATCGGGGCGAACCCTCCCCTCCGTGCCGGAATGGCCGGCAAATTAGTACAGATTTTTGAAGCAATTAGCCCTCGGTTTTCACCGCAGGAAATTGCCGTCACTCGTCTAAAAAAGGCAGCGGCACTCAGCTCCACGCTTTCTACGCGGACCGCAGCTCCTGCGAAAAACTCCCGTCCCGTTCGGATCCCGTTTCGCGTGGTACCACCGGAATAAAACGGGCGATGAAACGGCGCGTGGAGCGCGGTAATTAAGCCGTACTAAAACCGGACGTCGTCCCGCGAGCATCGCCCGCGCGCGTTTTATGGCGACGAGGAGGACGCGTCAGCTTGCTCGCGGCGAGGGACCCGGCCTCCCATCTTTTATGCACGACCGGCCGGCATGCGTCGCGGATCCCTCGTTTCACGATGCAATCGTCGATCCACGGATGAGAATCGTTTCTACCGTGAATCACGAATCGACCTTGCGTCAATGGAAACGGACACTGTACACTTTGAAACGTTGTCGACAAATCATGAGCATCCCCTCGAAGCGAACACGTATCGCCGGAGTAGCTCCCTGCAGCGAGAGGTCGAGCCTACTTTTTCTCCCGCGTCGCAGGTTTAACGTCTTCATTTGGCTGTAGCATGCGAGCGTTTCGTTACGAGGCAAAAACCGGCGAAACGCGAAAATTCCTGGCCCTCGACTGATTTACGGCCGCGTGCCACGCAGAACGATGTTGCGCCAGCGAACGGGTTTTAATTCACCGGTCGTTCTGTTACACCGCCTCCCGTGGAACGGCCACCCTCCTCCCTTTTACCCTTGTCTTCGTACCGAATCGCGAGACTAATCGTCCACCGGTCGACGAGAAAATATGGCCGGTGATAAAGCGCACAAACAGAGAATCGTGAGTACAAGTTTATCCCGCGAAAATCCCACGCCAGTACAAACAGTCGCGTTCGAGATTCAATTTTATAGAGGCGAGCCGTGAAATGAATAATTTCTATATTAAATGTATGATTCGATGAACGCGTAGATCAGACATAATACGAGGACGAGGATGGGTCAAAGGTTGCGAATAAAACGGTTCGACGGTCGTAAATAATGAGATGAAAATGTACCGGGAAAAGCGTATCGTATCAGTAATAATCTCGTCGGACGTTATTATCGCTTTAATCGCGAGGATTATTTCACTTTCGCGTCAAATCTCCGGACCGCTCTCGGTTTTGGCTTCGGTTTCGCGTCCCTCGCAGCGGTGACCCTCCGCGCGGCGCGTAATTTCTGACCGCAGGCCTGAAAATTCCACGTAAGCCAGCGATCCTACGCTGTCCCGATTTCCATCCCCCTTGTATGTATCGCTTCGTCGCTGAAATCTCCGAGGTACCATCGTCCCCGAAGATTCAAACCCAATTCGTATTAATTAATTATGCACGGAACGAACAGAGCATCCAAGTACGAATTATAAGCTGTTATAAATTTATTTTAGCGACGGGACGCGGGTGTTAAACGCGTATATGTAAGTCGATATTTGTGAGACAGATTGGAAAGCGTGAAAATTGTCGCGCGTCGGAAAGAGGTCTCGGCACGGTCGATGGCGGAACGTCGATGCGAGTCGGGCCCCGCTATTAACCAGGTTTTATTGGTACACGAGCCGGCCGCGTTGGCTGACCTACGACCGGCAACAGTTAATCAATGCTTTTATGAGCATTCGCTTGCCAGTACAGCGTCGTTGCAGCCGCGACCAGCCGAACACCGGCCCGACCACCACCCACTAACGGGGACGCCCCTCTCTCGTATCCGTTCGAACGGTGGACAGAGCTCGCCCATCGAACAAATAAATCTTCCCGCGGAACGAAATTATTATTCGACGATCTTCGTGAAATAAATCCCATCCGAACACACCGATTTGAAACGCAATTTGTATCGGGCTCGGAGTTCTGGACGGAAACACCGAGGCTTTGTCTGGTGACGCGTCGACACGCGTAACGACGATGAAGATCGAGTAGAAGAAGGGAAATACGTTGGACGCGTAAACGCGGATGCTTGGATAATTTACTTAGTTTGCGCATTAATACACGATTCGCCGTGCATTAGGTCATATAATATAAATTGCGGCCGGCCAATTTGATTAATGCTATTTCGGTAATCGATGCATTAAATAATTACGGGGGGAGGGTCGGAACGCACACGAACGGCTCGACGTTAGCCGATAGTCATTAGTTTATTACGCAGCCTAGGCCGGCCACTAGTTCCAGCTCTGGGAATAGTTTCATCGAAAAACGATCGAGCGAAACCGAGCAGAAGGCGCGAGCCGACGCTTCCGTCCGTCCAGGGAGACCGTCTCCCTCTCTGTCCGTCTCCCACGCCTTTGACCCGAGCCGAGCAACCCCCGAAGCCGCCGCTTTATATCCCTATCTCCGTCTCCCGGCCGCCAGCCCTCGTTCCCCCTCGGGCTATTTATTTTTCTCATCGGTTTTAATTTTGTAGAGACAACATAGATGCATATCGGCCTCTGTACTCGCCGTGCACAGAGAGCTGCGTGCCACGCCACGTATATACACGGCCATTGTGCAACGCCACGTCCCGAATGGATGTTACGCCGCGGCTATCGGGATCGGATCTCGCTCGTTGAGTTTATTAATTGCGTTATGGCAAGTGGCGCTCGCCTACCGGTCCAAATTGAAAAAAATCCCGTTGTACAACGAGCCACGCCGCTGCTCTCGCCGCGCGTACGTGTTGCTCTCGTGTCCCTCCCTCCACCGTTTTCCTCCTCCCGCCTCTTCACTCTCACTTTTTTATCCTCTTTAATCGGCTGCTCCTTCCGCGAGCTCCTCTTTCAAGATTTTTCTGAATGAACCGAAACAACCCCTTAAACGTTTTTACAATACAAACGCGCTTCTGGAGTGACACGTGATTTTGGTAAACAGGACCGAGAGGAGCCTGGCCAGGATGCTGATTAACCGGTTAAAATATTCGTCGACTCTATTGGTTCCTCGGGAGCGGTAAAGCTCGGGTCGGAAGGCGGATCATAAAATCGCATGGAACCGCGTCGGCGATTGCCGTTCGGAAATTGGTTAAGCAAATAATCGCGAATACGCGGCGGGCCCGTTCAATTTTACGGGCAAATACGTTTCACGGGTGCAACGTTAATGAATTAATGCCGCGCGGACGAGCGCGAGCGAGCGTACCTGCGGAACGGCATCGGCGCGGCGCGGCGCGGCGCAGCGCGGTGCCAGGCTATGGGTAAACGTTGAAACGGCTAGCAATTAATTACGAGCCCGCGGTAATTGTATAATTGTTTTACGATTGGATCCCCTTTTCTGGGTACGATTGATCGCCGCGATCCATACGCGACCGTCGTCGTCGGCCTTTTAATTCCATCCTTCGGGAACGCGTGAGCCGAACGAATCCGCGCGCGAGTTCTGCAATAAACGCCGCGCCGTGACGGTTTTATCCGTCTGGAATTTAACTGCAGTAACGCACTGCGATAATGACTGATGAACGAATGGAAACGGATTTCATTCGTTTCTCGAGCCTCGTAAAATTAATGTCGTAAATAAACGCCTTTAAACTCGTTGCCAACAGTCAGTGTCGGCTCGCGATCGGCTCGTTTCTTTCTACTGGAACGCGTCGATAAAACGGATTAAACTGCTCATTGCACGTTATAAACGTGATCAGAGGCGAGCGAAATTAACGACGCTTATGGAACGTATCGTAAGAAGATTTCGGAACGGGGTGTATCGGTGTCGATATTCCGGTATCGACGACCGCCACCACAGGCCGCAACACGACGGTGCAGTTGCAGTTAATTTGCTCACTCCAAGTGTGTTTGATTCCCCTAATTAATTGATCGGTAGGGTCACCGTGGCACGGCGTGTATACGGATGGCAGTAATCAAGTGCGTGCCCCTGGTACCAGGGCTACCGTGCACTTTGCCCACGAGCTTGCCCGTGATTTCGTTAACTTCATCACTTTCACATCAATCCTATCGATTCCTATCAAACGAGAAACCTGATCCCGGAAATCGCGGTCTGTCTTCCGTACATTTTGGCTGGAATTTATAGTCGTTTCTCAGTTCTCAACTGCTTGTTAGTCTTAATAAAACTTTTCATCAATCACGTATCACTCATAGATATGCAACAAGCAGTTGAGAACTAAGAAACGACTATAAATTCGAACCTTAAATTTATCATCCTACTTCGAGTGTTCTCTTGAAGTACGAATGGTCGTCGATCATGGAACGCGACGACACGAGTTGTGACGTCTTCGTAAAATGAAAAAATCGAAAGAGACTCACCCAAATGGCCGTTCTCGTAGTAGTCGCCGTTGTCCATTCTGTGCTTCTTGAGGGATGGTTGGGGGTGGTGACCGGCCGCTGCTGCCAGATGACTGGCCGCGAGACTGAGACCGACGGAAGCTCTCTTCGGTGGTCTTCCTGGCCTGGAGCTGTACAGTGGTAGAGAGTTACTGTGGTTAGAGACACCTGTCATCGAGGCAATGTCTTACCCCGATCGTCGAGCTTACGACCACTGTCGTAAGTGGTGAGTTCAACGCGAGAAAAGACCTGTCTGATACAAATTGCCGGCAACCTGTTAATCCATCGGGCAATTTTATCTTGTTCGCCCCGACGCTAACGCGTTACTCACGATAAGAATAAACAAAATGAAATCGCCCGTTGACAAACTAGTTATACGCATTCTATGTTCGCTGTCTGACGGTCTTTTCTCGCGATCCGATGACTCTTCGGCTCGGATTCCGAGACCGATCGGTCTCGCGCGAGAGCAAACTCATTTCTCAACTGTGTATGCTACGAGCGACGATTAGTCTATCTGGTATCTGGAACACGGCCACGTTTTCGAGAACTGGTTCCGCGAACGAAATTCACCGTCTCGCGATTTCGCACAACGGGACACGCGAACGAGTCGCGAGATACCACCGGCTAATACGTAGTGACGGTGTCGCGATAAACCTAATAGGGGGAAGATAAAGGCGCGCGTGGGACGACAAAACGGGCGAAACGGCTCGCATTTGCATAACTTATCGTGTCTCCGGGACTCGATCATTCTCGCAGCTTCGACCCAGAGAACAGAAATAATTCACGAGTGCCCGAGCGCAGAGATATGTACCGATCTAGCTTCGCTAAAATTGGATCATCTGAACGAGATCGAATCGAGGTTCGTCCAGTGAGAGAGTGAAATCGAAGGAAACCGATCAGGGTTTCAGGTGCGAAAACGCGTCAGAGGATCTCTGGCGAGGAGCGAATCGCTGGATGACGAAGAGTGGATGCTGCGGCTGACAGGAACGCTCATTTTTCATAACAGGCGCCGGAGAGGCGCTTCGTATATAGATACGCGCCGTGCAAAGTGTACACACGCGCGATTCGAGCTTTCGTTTTCGTTCCGCCGTGAAAATGCATCTCAGGTTTGTCGTTACCGTAGCCAGACCCTTTCCTTCCCACTATAATGGCCAGTGACTCCCGATTCACAGTTTCATGTCGTTTTTGTTAGTTGTTCATTTGCGATGTACTTTGCACATTTACGTCAAAGGAAGCGAAGTAAGACGAGTCGTAAAGAAATCGAAGAAATAGTCGTGTACGAAATATTCTCATATTGAGCTTTTCCATAAAACCTGCTGTTATTTCTCTGCCGGAGTTCAGGCGAGAGCGAGTTGAGGATCTCTGGCCGGTAAGCGAGCAATCTCATAGTAGTCAGGACAGATTTGTAAATCTAATTTTTCATCCCGTCTTTCTGCCAGCCCTCTCGCTTCTCCTCCGTTTAACTCCGTGTTCCTCTCCTCCCCCTTGGGTCCCTTCGACATCGGGGTGCTGCTCTCTTCATCCAAGAGGGACCTCCCGATCTCTCGATCTCCTGGCGCCCTCCCACTCCGTAGCTCGCTACGTTTCTTCAGCTTCGTGGCTCGTTCTCGTCTATCATCCTTTCTCCCTCTCTCTCTCTCGCTTTCTCCGCCGCCTTCTCTCACGCATGGGATCTGTAGACGATTCTCAGACGGCCGGTTTATACGCCGCGGCGTTGATCTCTTAAACCGCTTAGCTTCGGGTTACACCGAAAACAAGAACGCACTCTCAAGCGCTTAGACCCGCATAATACGCACTTGTTTGCGTACCAAGTCTACCGGCGGAATAAGAAAGTCGTCCACCTTCGTGCCCGCAACGAGTCTAACGATCTGTCCATCCGACATCAGGAATTTTTTAAAAGATTCAAGGCTCTTCTCTTTAAAATTAATTGTCACGTTGCAAAAATCATTGCATCTGTTGACGATCGGTTGTCTAATGCTATTTTTAATGAATACCGTGCAATTATTTGTGCACCAATCGAAATAATAACGGGTGTATCAGACCTGAACTGTGTTTCTAATAAATGATAGAATTCGTCAATGCATTAATTGGCGATTGGGAAAGACGTTTACGAAATCGCGTTGCATGTTCGATTGGCCAAGAGATGAAAGAGAAAGAGAGATTGGTAGTAATCGTTGCTGCAACTAGCAGATTTCGTTTCCACACTCGATACAATTAATTCCCCGCTCTTTGACCAACGCGTTGGCGCCTATCTTTTTTTTTTCCAGCGTCAAAGAATTTTCAAGCATCGAGGTTGTAAAAACTGGTAGAAATGAAGAAATTCCTCGCGATGCATAATCGCGATTGCGTCAACAGTAGTTATGCGAATTGAACGGAGAAGTCGACTGGAACGACTAAGATTATTCTGTTCGTAAATGCGGTACACCCCCATTCATAAATCTTAAAACGTATTACGAAACGTGTAATCGAATGAAACGCTGTACGCGTACGAGTAGAGGAACTACAATCGTTGATATTTCAATAAATAATTATAACGAAACACGTGGTCACGGATTTACTACGATTTACTATTGAGACGTGATCTGTGACGTTTATTGGATTTTTTGGCTATCGAGGAGGACTGACTTCTGAACGGAGGTGTACAGGCAGACGATGCAAAGAGGGCCGCGATGCTCGCCGATAAACGATGCAGATGACCAAGATTAGATGCAACTTTACGTTGGATTCGCGTCCGGTTGTATCGCGTGTGGGATTCGCGATGATCGCACCAGGTGCTATGCTTTGATCCCCGATCATTCCCCGCCTTAATGATCCGCTGCGCGGCAGAAACTTCGTCCTCGTCCGGTTCGGCCCGGTGGAACGGGGACCGAGATGGAGAGAGAGAAAGAGACTGAAAACGGGAACCGGAGAAATACAAAGCGGGCCAACGCAACGCAACGCAGCGGCCTCGATCCCGTGAACAACGCTCGCAAACCCATTCTTACGTGATGAACCGTTTAAAGACCAATCGACTTCGTCCCTACGGATCACCCGGGCAAAATGTTGGCTAGCGTGCCGCTCCGATCTCGTTTCGCAAAAAGTCTCAACACGATAAACGCACGTTCCCTGTTTCGCGTTCGAGTTACGAGAGCGAAAAGGAAGAGGTAGTGGCCGTTTGTCGAATCACCGGGACAGCCGAGGAATCGTCGAAATTCGAGACCCTGTCGGCGATCCGCGAGCCGTACGAGAACAATTTTAATTGACTCGGAAACAGCAACGTTTTTCGAGACACGGCGGGCGCGAGAGGGAGGACAGGGAATCGAGCGACCATAAATTGTCAATTTCGAAGTCAATTTGGCCGGGCTTACCAATCGGCTGCCGGTTAATTTCAAGGTGAATTGTGTCCAATATGGGTATATTATTAATGGCCCGGCGAGGGATAGGGTGCACTCTCCGTGCGGAGGGTTGCAACCCCGTTTTCGCGTACTGGCGCAAATCTATCGCTCGGGGCCTGCTCTCTCGTATTCGGCATTCCGGGATTAAATGCTCTCTGATGTCGCAGTAACCGGTCGCCTCGTAATCTCGCGAGGATCGACCGCGGCCGGAAACGCGATTCCAGGACAAACCGGATTCCTGATTCCCCTCCCGGCTTCCGGATTTTCCTTACGTTGCCTCGTTCCAATCTCGCCCGGGGCCACAAAGGAGCCACTGTTCCACGTTAAACAACGCGCGCTATCTTTGAATTACGATGCTCGAGTCTTATCGCATCCTGCTACCGTTCTGCGGCGTCCAAACACTCGTCGGCCGAAAACGCGGGAACGGTGCGTGCATACCAGAGAAACGAGGAGGCTTTCAACGGTGCGTTCTTCTCCCGTGAGACCTTTCCAGCCCGCGGACGAGCTTCGGTCACGTTTCTCCTATTGTCTCTCGGCGAGCCACTAAAGGATGAGCCTCGTTGATGCACAGAAGCATCGTGGGTTCAACCGATACGCGCAACATCTGCGTCAATCGGCCCCGCATGCCACCGTATCAAGTACTTCCCCTGTGTACAATGCGTGCTCGTTTAATTCACGAACGACGTGTACGAACGAACGACAAAAACTGACGATCGGACGAGATTCGACGGGAAAATCAATTTCTGTCGGCTCGTTCGGAGATCTCATTGAGAACGTCGTTGGACGAGCTAATTCGGATAATAAAACGAACACGGCCCGTTTCGACTGGTCGTTCCAGCGGCGCCTGACGCGTCCACGGCTCAATTTATACGTCCGACGCCGCGGCGAAGAGCCATCGGAATAATCCAGATTTCCTGTACGCTCGCGCGAGACTTCTACTTGTGACGCGGAACACCCTTCGGCAATTAAAAAAAACTATAAACCGCTTAACGCGGCGCGGCTCGCAGCTCGCATAAAGTCGTAAAACGATATAACGAATAATACGAGCGTTCGTGGCTCGGCTTCTAATTGTCAGTTTCGCCTTTACGTCTTCCCCTGCCCGGTTTTCCGTCCATCGACGGGCAGTGATCGTCCCGCCGAACCCCCTTCGCGCGCGAACACACGCGTTCGCCCCTCGTCCCACGGCGAATCCTTTTCCAAATGTTCCGACCCGTCGCCCGCCACCCTGTAAAGCGTCGTCGCGCGCAATTCCCGTCATAACAACGGGTTCGATTTTCGTCAAAAGTCTCTCGACGTGATCGTCGTCGCCTCCCTCGATCCTTTTTCTCTTTCGTTCCGCCCCGAGATCGGTCGAGAGCTTCTCTTTCGATTTCTCGGTTTATAAACCCGATTGCCCGGCCGGCATTTTCCAAATTATAAATTTTTACGAGGGCCGAGCTGGCAAAACTCGGCTGTTTCCTTGCCAGCGCTTCTCTCCGCTGTTCACCCTCCGTGGCAATCCCGTCAGTCAGATTGGATTTGTCCGATTTCGCGCCCGGAGTGGAAAAGAACGCGAGGGTTCCCTCTCGCCCACCCTTCATATTATTCCTCTTCACGCTCGTTCTCTTCGAGAAACAAAGAATCGAGCCGGGACGTACTACGGTTCATCGGGAAAGTCGCGTGAAATGGAGTAATAAGAACGTCGGAGCGAGCCCTGTCGGCCATAAATTTGATTGGCGAATTTGTTCCCTGATTCATAGACTGCCAGAGACTCTATC